AGTTATTATTATTCAGAAAAAAATAATTATTTTCTTACTGACATGGAAGAAGGTACCAAAAAATTGAAATCGTGTCAAGGAAAGCTGTAATGTTGATGGATTACATGGCATCGGAAAGTTGATGGCGTCTAATAAATAATAATAATAATATCAATAATATCAATAATAATAAAAATAATAAATAATAAAAATAATAATAAATGATGATAATAATAATAATAAACGTATAATACAAACTAACTGCAAAAAACACGGTACGACATACAATAGACATGATGCAAGACAAACAAAATAGAAACAAACATACAAATAATTATAGTATTTATAATAATAATAATAGTGATAATAATAATATTCATAACGACAATATTAATAATTATAATTATGATTAGAATAATGGTGACCAAATACATTCCTTTTATAGCCTGATCATGAGATATTAATGATCTCATGTACCTGGGAAAAATGAATGAATGAATGAGTTTGAAAAAACGAATGAATGAACTAATTAAGTAATTAATTTTGTGATTAATTATGTAGCTAATTAAGTATTTGATTAATTAGTCTATACAAATTATTTGGTGAGTTAATTAAATTAATGACGAAACAAAAATGGTGGTGCATGGCACATGTGTATGTGTGCGTGTGTTTGTATTGTATATGTGTGTGTGTGTAAATATATATATATATATATATATATATATATATATCATATATATATATATTTATTTAAGTGTGTTTTTATGTTTGCTTGAATGCGTATATTTATGTATATTAATGTGTACGCTATATGTGTAGTATGTGTGTACTGTACGTATGATTAATATAGACGAAAAAGTTAAATTTGAAACGAGATGAAACAATCATGATAGCAACGACAAATTTTAAATTGATTATAAACATGACACAAAATCAAAACACACACACACACTCACATACACCTCACTCACACACACACACACACACACACACACGCACGCACACACACACGCAGGTAACCCACAACAACGTACACAATAAACAAAACAAAGTCAAGCGCATCCTCCTACACGCATTTTTTTGTTTACTATATATAGTATACACATTAATATACATATATAGCTGTGCGTGTAGTATATATACAACGTAAAAAGAAAAAAAAATACATAAACACTTTGGCAAACCATGGCTCATAATTGCGAGCAATTTAACAACAAAATAAACAACGAAATGAAAACAAAAACGTTGCATACATAATAAATGCACACACGCGCATATCTACAGGCTCACACACGTACACACACACTGTCATACGCACCTGTGTTAAATTACTGATTGCCTGACGCTCTATTTTCTCTGATGTGCGCTTCTTGTACGTTCAAAAATTTCATTCTTTCATTATCGATTTATTACTATACATACACGTACACGCACTGTACAAACATTTGCACGCACGCACGCACGCGCGTGATTTGCATGGCTTAATTGACGTACTCCTAAATATGCACATGTATGTTTAAACTGTTGTCAATATATTTATCCATCTGTAAATATTATATAATCAATTACTTTAAACAAACAAGTGATAGAAAATTTCATTAAGTTAGGTCATAATGTAATCATTGAGCAAATATAAGTCATGTGATGGTGCTCCGTGTTTGCTGGTGACTGTTTGCTTCTCCGCTTGTGCTGCAGAGCACATCTTAGTTGAAGACACATTTTTAAAAGATAAGGCGTTACGATGCTTTTGTGGCGAGAAATTTTCTGGCTGATTCAAGTTCTCCTTTTTATTCAACTTCAAATTATTTTTTAAGTTTGTTAATTTTGATTTTACATGTTTTGAGGCAAAATAACAATCACAATCACAACACGGTCACATGTCACATGTAAAGACATTTAATTTGAATTTGTAACTCTCGTGACTGAATGTTACAATTATATTTCAAATTTTCAGTTTGAGTTTAAACGTTCACATACACTGAGATCTACGTACATGTACATGTACACACACACACACACACACACACACACACACACACACACACACACACACACACACACACACACATACACAAACAAATTTACACACGTACACACACACGTACACACGTACTATTATATAAATGTTTTAGACAATTGCAGAAACGTTGTAAAATTTTTCTTTTCCAATTTGAATTAATCATTTGAAATTTTTTTTTGCTATGACATTCACTCAGTTACATTTTAATTAAGGTGGTCTGCGCAAGTTATTTTTCTTTCAGATCTTCTGGTGATTTTCTTTTTACCAAATAAATGATTTGAAAAAAAGAAATATACACGGACATACACACACATACCGACAGATGCATGTACAGACATAAGTTAGCCACACGCAAACATGTTATTCAGCGCTTAAGTCCGCAATTAAGCAGACCATCCAGAGCAGTGATGTTATGCGCTTTCTTTCAGCGTTTTCTTTTCTTCTTATGTCTATTGTCGTCGTCATCGTTATAAGGTATATCGAGTAATGTGTATTGTATCATTGTTATGAAATAGATTGTATTATTTTTATGAAATTAATGGTATCATTTGTATTGTATGAAGTAGAGGGTGTCATTTGTACAAAATAGATAGTATCATTTGTATGAAATTAATGGTAGCATTTGTATTGTATGAAGTAGAGGTGGTATCCTTTGTACAAAATAGATAGTATCATTTGTATGAAACAGATTTTATCATTTATGTGTGAGGTATTAAAAAATTGTATCAAAGCTATCGCATCAGTAGTATCCTGAAGATATCACTAGTGATAATGTATCAAACGAAAGAGATATCCTTTAAAGTTCGACGCTCATTTAAACAAACACCATCTCTACAACCTCACAAACAAACTCATGCCTCTCATGTTGTTTGTACAACAAACATATTTAAAGAGAAACTATGTAGTGAAGTCTTTTGGAAAGATATTGATGGAAGGATGGATAGATGTACAATACTTGTAATATTTTTACACGCACACATCCACAAATACGTACGCACACATACACACACGCACACATGCATGCACACAAACAAAATTATATATTTAAAAATTTTACATTGCCAAATAAAACACCCTTTGATGAAATTTTCATGAACCAAAAAATCTTCCACATAGCAGTGCATTCGATAAGAGGCACAATGCACATATGCCGATGCATTATTAAGATGAAAACTTAAAACGGATGAAATGAAATTTGTATCTTGACTCAGTGAGAAACTGCAAAAAAGATCATTTTTTCGAAATGATTTCAACGTTCGCAAAATTTACTATTGAAAAAAAATTATAGGATACCAATCAAGTGCTTACAAGCCACAGTTACCGTTGATGTACCTATATAAGTGTTTAAATACTACCATATACTACATACAATAACAATATACGCACATATCTATAAAATGCATCATATTCATCTTAATTATTATCATTAATTCAAACAAACACAAAAAAATCATATAAAAATATATCATATGGAATTAGCAACGGAATTGAACTGAATATAAGCACGTGAGTTGTCTGCATTCTTAATTCTGATCATAAGCAACTAAATATCCTAACGTACCATAACGTATTGTATTGTATTGAATTGTTTTGAATTGTATTGTTTAGTATATGATTACTTCATACATATTTAGATCATAATATAGATAATGTAACTATAGTTAATGTTGAATATGTATCATATTTGGATGACGTAAGCTGTGACGTCAAAGATATTTAAGATGAAAAATTATAAAAAATATAAATATGAACAAAAAAGTTATCGTTAATCTTCATAAGTTGATGCCGTTGTTGAGGCAAGTGATGCGTAGAGAATATTGAAACACAAAACATGCGTACGCGTATGTGTATATGTGTTTGTATTTGTGTTTTTTTGTTTGTGTGTGTGTTTGTATGTGTGTGTGTTTGTGTGTGTTTTTTTGTTTGTGTGTGTGTTTGTATGTGTGTTTGTTTGTATGTGTGTTTTTTTGTGTGTTTGCATGTGCACGAGCGTTATGTGTACGTGTATTTGTTCGTGTGCGAGCATGTGTGTATGTGTGCGTTTGTTCGTTTGGTGTTTGTGTGTGTGTTGGACGTATTTTTCATTCATCCTAACATATTCATTCATTCATTTTTTGATATTTTTTTTTAATATTATTAGATAAAAACAAATTAAAAAACAACAACCACATTCAAAATGACGTCATCAATAGCAATAGCAGCAGAAGCAACAACAACAACCACAGCAACAACAACCAGAGCAACAAAGAATATAAGAACAAAGAAATGGACACGTGACTTATGACGTAAGAGGCATATAGCGATACCAACGACAGCGTAAATAGATCATAAAGTACGCAAAATGAACAATAAGCCAACATGCCACAATATGTGTGCGCCACAAAAACTTCAACAAAGACTATAAAATCAAACAAAGAACAATAAATAAACGAAAAAAACAACAAAATAAAATGAAGTAAACAGAAATGAAAAACATAAAAACCATCAACAATATTGCCAAAATAATTGATTAAGGAGAAGTAGATCAAATAGAATAACTCAGCGAAATTGTTAGCTGCTACATTAAAAAATACAACCACATCAAGATACATCTGCAACATTATTAGCGAAAACATCCACAGCATCAATATGACAATAAAGATGATAACAACATCAACAACAACAACAACATCAACAACAACAACAACGTAAATAACAAAATCACAAACTAATTGGAAAAATATTACAGCAAGGTAAATCATAACAAAACTCAAGATAACATCATTAAGCACAACCAAAACTAATTAACGCAAGAGTAGTTTTATTTTCTAATGAAAAAACCAATTTAAATAATAATAATAATAATAAGGAGAAGAAGAAGAAAGAAAAAAAAAGAAAGAAAAAAAAAGTAGAACGACAAAAAAGTAATTTTGAGGCATAAACATAACCGCTCAACAGCATGTCCGCGCCATCTAAAAATTTTGTCATATTTATTATCTTTCATCACGTGACTGTCACGCAATCAAAACTTCCGGCCTCCCCTGGATAACAAAATGCTGGAAATTGCAAAGACGATGGACAACTGGACGATGTAATTTGATGGCTCTGTGCTGCTGCTGATGTTGATGTTGTTGTTGATGTTGTTGTTGATGGTGTTGATGTTGTTGTTATTGTTGATGTTGTTAATGATGTTGTTGTTGATGTTGTTGTAGTAGTTGTTGTTGGTGGTGCTGATGTTGTTGTAGTAGTAGTCGTTGTTATTAATATTATTGGTATTGTTGTTGTTTTTGTGTTTGTTGTTACTGTTGCTAACTTCCTAACTGTCGTTGTTGATGTCATATTATTTTATCATCTCGTCATCATTTCATCATTCATATTGTCATTATGTTACTATTATCACCCATATTATCTCATTACACTCATCTTTATCAAATTTGTGAAAATTAATATTTTTTTGCAGTATTTCAACCATTATAACAATCATCTTCATCAACATCGTTACCATCATCAACATCGTTACCATCATCAATATCGTCATTTTCATCATCATTAACAACACCACAATCATCACCACAATCACCACCACCATCACCATCATCGTCATAATTACCACCATCATCATCATAATCAAAGACCATCGGCATTTTTCATGTTTTATGAAATTTACAAGTATGTCTCATATAAATTAAGGCCTTAATGATGTTGGATTGAAGTTTCTGGCGACGACGATGATGATGACAAAGATGATGATAATGATGAAGACGACGATAATGATGATAGTCACAATGATGATGATGATGGTGGTGTGGCGTGAGAATGTGTCATAACTTAATTTTAAAGTGTTTTTGAATTGTTGCTGTTGAAGCTGCTGCTGTTGCTGCTGCTGACGATGATGATGACGAGGAGGATGTTTTGCTGATGATGACGTTTTTGATGACGTCAATGTTGATGACGCAATTGATGATGATGGTGATGATGATGAGCAATGCAATAAGATGGAATGCTTGTGACTTTGATGGTGATTCTTCCGAAAATAATAATGACATAATATTAGAAAAGTAATGATAATAATGATAATAATAATATTATATAAAAATAGTGATGACAATAATATTAATACACTGCTGCTGATGACAATATTAATGTTTTTATTGATGGTAGCTATGCCGTTGATGTCAGCAAGGCATGAACGATGTTAATGTTGTGATGTAGTATAGCTTCAGGCCTCATAAATTCTCTTTAATAAGAGCGTTAGTATGCTCATTTCCGATATTCTTGGCGTCATTGTCGTCACTTCCGTTACTACTTCCGTCGCTACTGTTGTTACTGTTGTTACCACATCAACAACAACAACAACAACTACATCAACGACAACAAATACATCATCAACAACAACAACAACTACATCATCACCAACAACTACATCAACGACAACTACATCAACAACAACAACTACATCATCATCAACAACAAAAACTACATCATCATCAACAACTACATCAACAACAACAACAACAACAACAACGGCAGACAACCACAACAGCAAACAAATAATTTTTTCCTTTAAACTTACCTAATCCTCTCCATTAACTTTGGATGGATGGTTATCATTACCAAAACCAACAAAATAATAATAATAATAACAATAATAATGTTAATAAAAAACGTTCAGAGCAAAAATAACAATGGTAATCATCTGTTTTAGCATTTCAATCCTTAGCATAATGATCATAAGAACACCATCACCATCATCATCATCGGATCATCATCACAATAGTCATTTCATTATCATCATAGGGTCATCATCATCGTCGTCGCCATTTTACTATCATTTTAAGATGATGATAACGATCATCATCTTCTTCATCATCATCATCATCATCGTCGTCATCATCTTTATCATAACATCATCATCACAACCACCCTTATAATTATCTCTCACTTGATTTGCTGAAAAATGTTTAAAACATAATTTTCCGTGCCACCAACACTAGCGTCGTCGTCGTTGTCGCCATCGCGACTGAAGTCGTGGTGGTCTCTGACGTCATTCATAGATGTCATCATCGTCATCATCCGTGTCATTCATGACGTCATATCATCACCATCATCGTCGTAAGTAATTTCACCATTATAATAATTTCCATCCTCATCAAGTCTGCAATCGTCATAATTTTTATTTCAACAAACATTATCCCAGCAGCATTCACTGCACCATCACCATCGTCATTATCATCATCTTCTTCTTCATTTTCCTCTTTCTCATCATTCTCATCATCTTCATCAATGATTTTTAATCGCAATTCACCTTTAAAATATTTCTGTAGCAATGATAAAAAGTCTACCGCAAGAGGCACGCAAATAATGAAGGAACTCTGATGGCGGCCATAAAAATTGCAGCATGAAGTACGGCCATTAAAACCATTATTGACTATTTATACGCCCCCCTCTCACTATTTGCAAATACGCCATTAATAATATTTACGATTGCTTAAAATTATTATTAGCGGAAGCGGAAGTGCCATATAAATTCAGTGATGTGCGCGTGTTTTTGTTTGAAGTCTGTGATGGATCGGTCGAGATTAAATGCAGGAAAGCGACTGCCATGCAGATGATGGCTGGTTGACTGGTTGATTGATTGAATGGTCGGTTGGTTGGTCAGTTGGATGAATGAATGCTCAGTTAATTGATAGTTAGACTAATTGAATGGTTGGCTGGTTGGTCAGTTTCATTGATTAAATAGTTGGTTGGTTGGTCAGTTGACTGATTGAATGGTTGGTTAACTGAATGGTTGGTGGTTAATAAAGTGATTGATTGGTTGAGTGGATAGTTAGTTGGTTGGTCAGTTGGTTGAATAAAGAGTTGTGTAGTTGTGTAGAAGGTCAGTTTGTTGCGTGGTTGGCCAGTTAATTATTGTAATGAAATTGATCTTTGTCGTCGTCGTTGTTGGCGGCATTTCCATACGAATGTGCCACTGTCTATAGAAACAGAACGCCAGATGGAAATAAATGAAAGAAAAGAGCGCACGCACACAGACACACACACACACAGAAACACACACACATACAGAAATCCACACACAGACACAGACACACACACACACAAACAAAAAACCACACAGGAACAACTGTCTTATAATGTGACGTATATGAGCCTAATTTGTACGAACACACTCATCAATCTTCATCTTCCGTACAATCAATCCAACATCACATTACATTAGTTTATTCCCATTCTTTTTCCCTCCATTTTCTCATCTTGCTCGGTTAATTGCGCCACGCTTAACTCAATAAATAATTGCTGGTAGAATTAACCCAGATCTCGTAGCAGAATGATAAATCATTGCAGTTGTTATATTATAAGATTATAACAATTTAAACGCCTGCCATCCATCCACATTTTGTGTTATCTCAAGAATTAATAATTAATTTTTCAACATTATTTAAAAGAAAATGATAGATACATGAATAGATACATAGAAGATATTTGATAGACACATGAATACTAATTAAAGCTATGAACACATTGATAAATAATTAACAAATAAAACTAATAATTTCTAATAAACCTAGACCTACACACAATTACACACACACACACAAACACACACAAACACACTCAGATTGCTTAAAAGAGTTATGATGGAATGTAAGGCTATCATGGAATGCGTTTTGAGGATTGATTACACGTGCGTGCGTGTACTTCCTAATGGGTTCATATTCTTGCATACTGACACAGATATGTACACATGCGAAAATACACACATACTCACATGCACACATACACATATACATTTTTTCTGAGATATTTTGAAAGAAATTACGAGCAGCAAAACATTTGAGATGAAATGAAAAATAAACTGTTTTCGTGTGGTTAGATAAATACGTAAACTAAACCGTGAGACTTAACAAGTTAATTTTTTTTAAATGATTCATTTAATGATAAAATATTTCATTTTTCAACATTCATTTTCATGTTAAAATTGACCTTGACTTGCTCGTTTAACGTCATTTGAGTTAAAAAAATTAACTAGAAGTCCTGCAAAAAGGTCTGGAGGAAGCAAATCTAACGGAGCGTTCAATGTTAACAGCCACTTAAATTTATCATCTGAATGTGTTGGGATGAAAGTTTAGCGTAGTTATAGCCAGGTTTTCAAGAGTCTTTTTGTTAAAGAAAAACTAAACTAACTTTGTTAAATTTGCCGCTAACTCTTTCGTTCGAATTAAATCAAATTAGTAGAATGCTTGACGGACGGAAGTGTTAATTGAAAGTGATGTTTCAAGAGTTTTTAGAAATCGAAAATAATAATTTCAAAACAAATACACGCATACGTACGTACACACACGCAAACACATGCAAATGCACTCACGCCTAAATGGAGAAAGATTTACATGCACTTATACACACACACACACACACAAACACATACACACATACATACATACACACTCACAAACATACATACATACATACATACATACATACATACATACATACATACATACATACATACATACATACATACATACATACATACATACATACATACATACATACATACATACATACATACATACATACATACATACATACATACACATACACACATACAAAAATACATACATATATGCATACATTGGGCATAATTTCATTAATAGTAGTGTGTGTATGGGGTATGTATATGCTTGGATGGATCCAAGTTACCTGCCTGCATGCATGCATCCTTAAAAGTGTATACAACACGTTGAATCTCCGACTTCAACACTCTTAATTTGTTACATGACCATCTAAACGCGCATTGTATGTTTGTATGTGAGTGAGTTTTTGTATATGCTATACACGAGTATACATATGTTTGTATGTATGTGAGTATTTGTATATACAATACATGAGTGTACATATATGTGTACATGTTGGCTGTACGTAAATGATTGTATGCAACATGACGTATTAATTTAATACAACGTGTATGTATGGTACAGCGGTAAATTGTTATACTTTCATTACCCACATTGTTCTGAAATACTAAGTTGGATAGCACAGATGCATACTCTAAATACTTAGATCTAAAATGGCAAGGCAAGTTAAAAATGAATTAAAAGTTGTTCACTCATTCCTGACGCTCCACTAAATCTCTTTTTTATTATTACATTATGAATTTTCAGAATATATTTTGTTAAAAGTAGTTACCGTTCATTAAGTAGGGCTGGCACTTTTATTTGTTTTACAGTGTCAAGATGCCATTGTCGGTTTCCAACAGTTTCTTAATCCAAACCGGCAAATTAATTTAAAAACTCTTTGACATCGTCGTGTATTCAAATGTTCCTCTTTCGTACTAAAATTACATCATTTTTCTTGAGAGGCTATTTTTTGTTGATGCACCGAGGCAAAAAACCCCGTCTATCCTGCTTCAACTTTTGCCCTAGCCATACCTACTCCTACTCCAACATTGGAGTCATGAATTTCATTTTATGTCTGCACTTGCCTGTGACAAAGGCTCTTCAGCGTAAATAATCTCAATAGCCGCAGTGGAATGTTCGGGTCATAAATAATTTTTTCAAACGTGAATAAAGTTTCTCCATCCTAAATAATTTTCAACCATAAATAACCGTCTCAACTCGCGTAGATCATTTTTTTCTGAATCGTAAATAACATTTTCCTCAAAATATTTTAAAGTTTTTTCTCATGAGGATAATCTTTTTCTTCTGCACGCGTCCGCTCTGAGTGTTGAGAGGTTGAAATGTTTCAACCTTTTACAATAACATCACCATCAACTCCAACAACTACATAACAACAGCACAACACCACAACTTGTTTATCATTCATTCATTCATTTATTAATTCACTTATCAATTAATTCAATCATTTGGTCATTGATTGATTTATTGACTGATTGATTTATTGGTTGATTGATTCATTGATTCATTCATTCATTTGATCATCCATTCATCCATTCGTTCACTCACTTGTTCACTGGCGGCAGCATCTTCAGATTCGTTGATAGGTTGATAGTACATTTGCATGCCTCGCCATTAGTTTTCATTAAAATCAAATTATAAACCAGAGCCTTACTGTGTGTATGTGTGGATGTGTTCGTGTGTGTGTGTGCGTGTTCGTGTATGTGTTTGTTAGTGTGTACATGTGTGTATACGCACAGTACACACACATACATACACACACACAAATGATTTTTTTTCTAAGTTTTTTGTGTTGTATGTCTCGTGGCAAGGCACCAAGATGTGAGTGCAAGTATTTTTGTTTAAAACGCACAAGATGGAGTGCTCAGGCTATTAAGGCTGCTAATAAATTGTTCTATATTTTGGTGTTTGTGTTGTCGTTGTTTGAAATTATATAAATTTCCTATTAATATTGTTTCCTATTCCTATAAATATTGTTTTTACTTTTTTCAAACAAAGTATGCTAAAAAATGTTTATAAATCAAGTACACGCATTCGTTGGCGTCTTATTTGTGTACTCATCAATTGCTACGTTTTGTTAGCTCTGCCAGGTTCGTTTGTCTTGCTCTCAGTCAAACATTCATGGTTTGAAAACTCAATTCAATTTTCACTGGTTTAGTTTTGTATGATTAATAATGTGGATCCCATAATTTAATGAATGGTTTAATGCATGCTACTGTATAAGATATAGCCTTACTCAAACCACCATTATTTTCACTATATTTATTAAGGTCATCATCGTCTTCGTCATCATTAACTCCATCATTGTCACCATCACAAACATTATCGGATGAAAGATTTAAACCAATACCGTATTTATGAACTGATATTTATTTGAAAATTTTTTTACAAATTTATAAGCTATAGTTTTTTTTCAAAAATACTCCAAAAATTTATGAAAAATCTCATTGATATTTATATACGTCCTTGTGATTTTTTCATAGGCTTGTATGTTGTAGATGTGTGAAATGTTCGTTTCAGAAAATTTGAAAATATTAAGTATTGTCTATTTCAAATTGTCCTGAAAAGACAAACACGTAAAAAATTGCGACCAAACAAGTCAAAGCTAAGCATGAAAAGAAAAAATGCAAATAAGAATATTTTTAT